GCAGGCGGATCTCTGTGAGTTCGAGGCCAGCCTGGACTACCAAGTGAGTTCCAGGAAAGGCGCAAAGCTACACAGAGAAACCCTATCTCGAAAAACCAAAAAAAAAAAAAAAAAGAAAGGAAGGGACAGAACGAACTGGGTCAGGAAGACTTGGGTCTTTAGCTATCTGGTTAATGAATGGGAAGGCACATGTCTGTAGCTGTCTAGTTAATGAATGGGAAGACACAGGTCTGTAGCTATCTGGTTAATGAATGGGAAGGCACAGGTCTGTATCGATCTGGTTAATGAATGGGAAGGCACAGGTCTGTAGCTATCTGGTTAATGAATGGGAATGCACAGGTCTGTAGCTATCTGGTTAATGGCCTTAGCTCTTAGAAGCAGAGAAGAAAACCAGACATAGTGGTGTGTAGGCCATGATCTCAGTGCTCAGGAAGCCAGCCTAGGCTGTACAACAAGACCCTAAGTTCATCCACCAGCAAGACGTAACGTTCCAAGAGAAATGCACGGGACAGGAGTGTGCTCTGGAGGAGGCACTGTAGCAGAGCCATGCACGGGCCTCATAGTTTACTTACACTGACTTTGGATTAGAGGTAGGATTAGAATCTTAGAGTGGTTTTATTGGTGGTGCTGCTGCTGCTGGAGGAAAGAATGCATTTCCAGCCGACTGTTCTACCACTGCGCTGTCATGTTTATCCCATGGTATGTAACTAATACAAATCTGACGTCCCTGATTTCTGTGTTCTCGCAGGTGGTCGGGATCCACATGCAGGGAATTGGGTGTGATGAAATGCTCCAGGGCTTCGCTGTGGCGGTGAAAATGGGGGCCACCAAGGCCGACTTTGACAACACGGTTGCCATTCACCCTACCTCTTCAGAAGAGCTGGTCACACTCCGCTGAGAGCCCAGGGACTTGTCTGGGTAGCAGCCGGACCAGTAGACCTCTGAGATGAACCGATGTATCAAGTTTACTTCCTGCTCCAGCTTTATATATTTCTTCATTTTAATCAGGATCTTCTGATAGTGAAAAAAAAAAAGAATTTATTTATCTAATCAGAAATTTGTTTTGTTAATCTGGGGTTGGTTTTCATGTGATAATATTTCACAGTAATTAATATTTTTAATTCCTTATTAACATCCCTGTGCTGGTTCTGTTTTTCCTGTTTCAACCTCATTCCAAGTATAAATGTATATGAAGTACAGTGAAGTTAATGCACCTGAATACAGCTGCCTTTTTTTTTTTTTTTTTTTTTTGACAGTGTTTCTCTATACAGCCCAGGGTGGCCTCAAACTTAAGATCCTCCAGCTATAGCCTCACGGGCATTGGAATTATAGGAATGCATGGCCGTTCCTGGCCTAGCTCATTAGTTTTATATGATGGTAAGTCTCCATCTATAAATATGCAGGTATACAGAATATATGTGTGTTGTTGAACAGGCTGTTTTTATTCTGTGTATTGCAAAGCTGCCCTGAGGATGTGACCTAACTTCATTTTATTCTTTGCTCTGTTCTCAATGATTTAGAATGGTTTGTGTTATTTTCTTATGAAATGAAGTGCATTTGAAGTTAGGAGAGCTGAGGCTGTTAAATCTGTGAGCAGATTCTGGAGATGATTGTGCCTTCAGGAGGGGTAGGCTGAGCCACTCCAGGAGGCCTGCCTTCTGAGCACTCATGGTTCAGTCGATCATTTCAGTAGTTCTGTGGTTTTGTCATTTTATTATTATTTTTTTTTATGAGAACTGTTCCAAGAATTTGAAAACCTGCTGCGATGTCTTATAAAATTTATTATGAACTTAATTGCTGTCGGTTTATTTTCTGAGAATTTTCTCCCTGGGAGAACAGACACCATCACCTGTTGGGGGAAAAGGCTCTCTAAAGTGTCGGAGGGGCTGGAGGGACAGGATGGCTCAGCACTTATCGCTCTTGTGGAGGACTCGGTTTGGTTCCCCACACCTACACGGTGCCTCACAGCCATCCACATCTCCAGTTCCAGGAGATTCGATCCCCTCTTCTGCCCTCTGCAGACACTACACACGTGGTATGCAGACATACACACAGGCCAAACCCTTCTGCACATAAAGTAAATAAATCTTTTCAAAAATTAACAAAACTTTGTAAAGTGCCAAGGAGAGTATAAAAGACAGCCTCAGCCGGTAGATGTCAGTGGAAGAGCAACCTGAAAAAAAGTCACTTAGACCAGGTATGGTGGTGCGCCCTGGAGAGGTAAAGGCCAGCCTGGGCTACATGAGAAGTTTTCATAACCCTACTGATGTCTTTAGCAGCTGGGTGAACAAATTTGTCTTTGTAGTTTCCACGAGCAATACAGTGCTGCCGGATTCTTCCATTAAGTTTCCTGGATGACTTTCTGAGTGGCCATAGCCAGTTGTGGCACTGACTTCTGGGTAGACCCAATGCCAACCAAGTAAAATCCCTGCGTTAGTAACAAGGTTATGTATTTGTGGTGGGGATGAAGGGAAGCCAGGGTGTTCACTTCTGAGCAACCTTCTAGTCTGGAAAAAAGAAAACTTCGCTTTTTCTCCTACATAGTCATGCCTTGTTGCCCAAGGTGACCCCACAGTTGCGATCCTTCTGCCTCAGCCCCCCAAATATTGTGACTATAGGCATATATCACCATACCCTACATGTGAGAAAACTGCTAGACAAAGAACAGGGCCATGAAGCCCACAGCAGCTATGTGGCTCGGGAACACCTGGAAGAGTAGGGGGGGTACTGTTAATAATTGGGACATCAGGCCCAGATTGGAACTATCTCCCCAAATGGGACATTGCCATTCGGATTACACGGTGTTAGGTAGATGTTCCTGTGACTTTGGAACAGAAGGTTAGAGCTGGAGCAAGGGCCAGAGTGCTGCATTGCCTTGTAACAAAGGACCTCAAAACTTAGCCTGAAACAGAAGCTTGCAATGTGGTTCAGCTAGGCGGGGCTCCAAACAGCTTCTGTCCCTGCCCCTTTACAACGGACCATCAGATCGGTTGGCCCATGTGACCACGGGACAGAGCATTTTGCATGGCAGCCTGCACCTGCGTGAAGCCCTCTTGTTCTGTGTGCCTCTCAAAACTAGCAGGTTTTCAGGGCACCTGGAAAATGGCCGGAGTCACCTGTCCAAGTGAATGTGTTAGTGTTGTGCCCAGATCGTGACCCCCAGAGAGACCACCAAAGACGAGCATGCCGGAATGCAAAAACAAGGTTTAATTCTGGATATCCAAAAGCAATACAAGCCTAGGCAGGGACTT